TAAAGAATCAATTTTCCGTAACTCCAAACATGTTATTTTATTTTTTAACGATTAATGCCCTTTGAATTTTAAACATGGCCGACCTTGACTGTAATGGCCAACCTCGACTACAAATTTTTTTTTTTAAATCTTTATAACTTTTTCATTTTAAAACCAATCAATTTACTTTGTACAGAAAAGATGTTCCTATTAAACAGGACTTTCCAACCATATACTTCAATTGTCCAAATTCATTTTTAAAAAAAAGTTATAAACAAAAGTCAAAAAGGTGGCCGACCTAGACTATGTTCCCCTACGAATAAATAGGTGGATTTCACGTCAGTTCATCGCACTAATTTTCGTAAATTGATGGGATGAGGCCGTACTTCTATAAATTTATTATTTTAGTAGTGAAAAACAAATTGGCCAAAAATATGGCATTTTGAAAATGTTTGCACTTTTTTTGATAGTCGTGTAACTTTAGTTCTATTTAACCAATTTAAAGTACCTAATAAATTTATTAAATTAGAGCTAAATCCCAACAAGTCATGGAAATTAGTGTGCATGATAAACTGACCGAGGAACTGCCATGAAATTAAAATAACGAAGACGGGGTATTCTCTTATTCACTAGAAATTAAATTTAAATTAATAAATTTAAAGTAATAAAAAAAATGTCAAAATAATGTTCGCTAATCAGCAATATTCATTCATAAACTATTTTGTACCCTAGAAAAAAACTTTTTTTTCGTCTTTAATTAAAAATGCCCATTTTATTATCAGTATGAATCAGACAATATTTATTACCTGCGGATAAGAAAACCAATAACCTGGATTTAATAAGAGGATCAGTTAAATTCCTCTCGAGTATTGATTTCTTTCGTAACAATTATTAATGTCATGAAAAATACCTGAGTACCCGCATTATAATCTCTTTTTAAAAATTTAAGAAAAAAACAAAACGCCATTTTATGATAAATTAGGGTAAAAAATGTTCTTTTTTTATACAAGCTTGGAATTTTTTAACTTTCGATACGAATTTTGAAAGACTGTTTATTTCATTATTATTTATCTTGTATAAAGAAATGCTGATAACATTCGAATCGAATAAACAACAGATGCATCGCACACTTAATTATAATATTTATATCTAAAATAATTTATTTGCCTATAAATCCCATATAAATCCACAAAAGCTAAAAACGTAAAATTAACTAACTTATTAAAATTAAATGAAAATGTCTATTTTATTAGTTTACCACCGAGTAATATTAAATTTATTAGCATATGGTTTGTATATTATAAATAATTTATAAGAGACGCAGACATTGGCGTTTTTCATGTTAGAAAAGTATAAATAATTTAAATATAGAAAAATCTCTAAAAAACATATTTTAGATCATAAATATCAATTTATTTTGAATTTAATAAGAAATTTATTAAAAATATTCTAAATCCATTTTGACAAAAAATATGCAAAGATTTAAAATTAAATACATTTTTCAAATTCATACAATAAAAAATAATAAATTTGATTCTTAATTTATTTTATTTATTGTAAATTTATACGCCTATCTCTCGTGAAGGAGGTCGATAAGACACTAATAATTACTTTAATTATTCAGGCCACATATGTTTTCTTATATTGTTTATTTATGGCGATATTCGAACCAAACGTGTTAAAAAATTATTTTTAGGTTGTCGAAAAAACACCTAATTTAATTTTTTACTTATTATATGTATGTTTTATAATTAGACATTTTTTATTATAAAATTAATTAACATTATATATCTACAAATCTTTTTGAAATAACATTTTTTTATCTTATTTGCAAAAATTGATGATGAAATAAAATGAATTAAATCTTATCATTTTTTTCTACTTTATACACTAGGAAATGACATTTGGAAAAAAATTCCATTCTTTACTTTTTATTAAAAAAATATAAATGGACAAGTGTGAAATGCAACATTTTTATTTATTTCTCAATTCTGCTTATAAATTCCAGACTGATTTGCATAAATAATAATTTAAGTTATTCAAAAGTATTCAAAGAAAGATGCTATAAAAGGGCTTTAAAAAACTGTATTAAATTTAAACAACGTTTTTGTTTAATTAAATAATTTTTATAATTACATTGCTTTTGGTGCAATGTAAAATTAGCATGTTAATAATATATTAATAATTATTCATAATGAAACCATACCTATATATAATAATAAAAATAAATTATTCTTCGATTAAATAATAAATAAACCTTAGACTAATGCTTTAAGAAAATTATCTTAAATATATGCATTTTAACATTTTATTAAAGAGAAAAGTAACTAATTATCAAATATGTCTTGTATATCGTGAAATTAAAAAAGACAGATTAAATGTTAACAAGCTATAATAAGGAAGCAGTGTATTAATAAAATTACTATACAAAGGAAAAGACCGTATAAATTAGCAGCTAATACCGATACGATGATTATTCTTTTTTCAAAAACGAATTAAAATTTTCCTATTTTTATTTATTACTTCTCGTATAAATTTCTTTTAAGTTTTCCTTAAAAAATCTCAAATTATCCTAAATGTTTAATTTGTTTTATTAATATTAAAAATAATGAAAACCGGTTTTATAAGAACACGTAAAAAATGCAATGAAATCAGAATCTCTCTTTCGTGAAATCATGTAATTAATTCAGTTTTTGAAACTGTTCCTATACAAAAGTATGTAGTTCGTTCAAAATATACCAATGTACAATATACATACACACATACATATCAATTTATATTCTAAATCTGATTTTCTCAATTTTTTCATTTCTCTGTTATAAAACATAAATAACTGTTAAAAATAACCAGACTTGAGAAATAAATTATTACGTGGCTTATGGTATTTTCATAACATTTGTGACTTTTTTTTTATTATCCTATAAAATGTTGTATAAGTAAGCTATTGTTTACTATATTATTATCTTCGGAAAAAAATATAAATGCATGTTCCTTTTATAGTTTTAAAAATTGTTAGAATATTCATTTAAATTTAAAACAAATTTTTTTCTTTATTTTAGCGCAAATTCTTTCGTATTATTCAATCTGGCGACATGGGCATTATGTTTGATGCAGAGACCTAATCTTAAAACTAGTAATTTATCATTCAAAGGAATTTCAAAGTATTTATGGGTTAAAATCAAAAAATCGTTGAAATCTTGTCCTAGATAAATAATAATTTGGTTGTTAAAAATTCATGATTTTAAATACAAACATCTTGCAGAGTATAATTTTATCTACAATACCTGGTTATTTAATTTAATTTTTTATTGATACAACAGGTACAAAATAGTAAAAATATGTCCAAAATGTCATCGTGTCCCGTGTCCCTATATACATTTTACGATATAAAAAAATTTTTAATTCAATTTTTTATTATATAAAATAAAATTTATCTTCGTGTACGTGTTCTCCAATGTATAAAGTGTAATATAGGAAAGTGGTGAGAATTTTTATAGCACTAAATGCGAAAATTAAAGAATTTTTAACGTGTCCCCAGATTTGGAATTTTTTAATGTCATCGTGTCCTCACACACATATTTACCGGTTTTCAAATTGGTATCGCAATTAAAAGTTGAAAAACTATGAAATAAATCAAGTACGATATAAATTTGATAATACGTGAGCATAGAGAAATGTCAAAATCAATTTAAAAATCAGTAAAATGATATTTTGATAATATTAAGAAAAGAGTACATCTTTTTTTGTCATCGTGTCCACAAGTTTTTTTTTAAAGGCGAACATTTTTAAATTGTAATTAATGTATAAAAAAATTTTCTAGTATATGTATATTATTTGTGTAAATGTACAATTAAAACTAAATTCAAGTTTTCGAATAATAACAAAAATAAAAATTCATGTTTATTATTTTTTGTCATCGTGTCCCGTCTGACATAATTATATTTTTTTAGGAGTGAAGTCAGACGTTACATAGACAGAAAGAAAATTTCTAAAATCTATTTGGTTAGATATCAAAAAATATTTTCAGAAATTCATATTAAAACGATTAACACGCTAAATAATATGTTATTATTATTTAACAGGTAAATTCAGTAATTAAATAATTAAACTAACTAAAAATAAAAAATTAATTATTACTATAAACTTTTTTTTGTAATATCATCATATTGAAATAGGTTAAATATGTGATTACTAAAAAAAATATTATTAAGCTAATAAGTATTCCTTGATCTTGCATTTTATGATTTTTGACATATTTTAGAACATAACTAACAAAACAGACAATTTTTTCAACATTTCAAAGATTTTATTTTCTTTTAAAAAATTAGGCACATATTGTCGATTTTTTGATTTTGACTCTTATGTTCCTTTGTATTTATAAAAAAATGAAGTATAAATTTACAATTTGTTTAAAAATAATTAAAAATTATATATAAAAATGGTAACAAACTTTAGAATGTTTTAATAATTTATTATTAAAAGCAATACTTTTATTATTATAAATAGAAACTTGTTAAAACAAATGCATTTGATGCCACATTGTTGATATCTACACTGTAAAAAAAATTTTCTGTAGATTTACAGTTTTGTTTAGAATTTTATAGAAACTTGTAAAATAACTTCTTTAAAAGTAGTGAATTTAAAATCCCTTCTGTAAAATTAATACTTTTAATGTGTCAATTTTACAATTTTCTGTAAATTTACTACTCTGAATGTAGGTAATAAAAAGACAAAAATATTACCTACATTCAGAGTAGTAAATTTACAGAAAATTGTAAAATTGACACATTAAAAGTATTAATTTTACAGAAGGGATTTTAAATTCACTACTTTTAAAGAAGTTATTTTACAAGTTTTTATAAAATTCTAAACAAAACTGTAAATCTACAGAAATTTTTTTTTACAGTGTATCTACAATAACGAAAGTAACATCCCATAATGCCTGAACATAACACAGGGATATAATAATAATTAACAATTAATAAATTTGAAAATTAAATTTAATATTGAAAATAACTCACCTCTATAGTGCCCATCGTTTGAAAAGCCGAAAACACCAACATAAATCCTACACTTAATGTTATTACATTTATAAAACCTCTGTCAACAATCATTTTGAGCTAGTTAATAAAAATCTAGCCAAGTATGTAAATAATTAAATTAAATAATTGGAAATTCCTTCCACTATGTGGAGCACATGTGAATCGTTTTTGTTCGACAGTTGAACTTTCATTGGAAAGTGTATCAAGTTGTTCATGTATCAAATCATATGATTTACAACGGAGTTAAGCGGAGAAATTCTTCTCTTTCGTATCCGAATATGTTCTTTCTATGAGTCAATAGAGTTACTTGGTTTTGTGATAAAAAGTTGAAACTGGAAGGAGAAGGAAACACAACTTGCTTCCACAACTTCCCTTGTAGCCGTTTTAATCGTTTTAATAAACATCATTTAAATTCTACAAAAATACCATTGTGAAGAAAGAAGAAACAACTACTGCACAAAATATTTACTCATTTGTGAAATAATGTTCATTACATTGTTTATTTTAAAATCATTGCAAAAGTTATAAACACTTTTGACCCTTTTCCTTTTGACTGCCTGCCTCCCATCACCTCCCATCATGTTAATTTTAAGGTTATGACGGGCAAGTCGTTACATAAGGTACACAAGTAACGTATGTTACGTTACGTACCATATACTTTCAATCAATAATTATTAAAGCGATGTTAAAGTTTTAAACATTTTTACGAGTAATTAATTATTTTTAAAATTTTAATTGTGTCCCTAAAATTGAGACACTTTTCGTCATTTGAGTTAACCGCCTATTAAAACCACAAACAAAACAAAATGTTTTCAAGTTTAAAACTGACAGGATTTCATTAGTAATTTTTACAATGAGTTTTAAATTTAGCGCCAGGAAGTTGGGAAAAAAGAATCAAATCATCATTTACACATGACACATGCAGTTCTGATAATTTCCGCTCAAAAAGAATTTTAGGCTACTTTACGCTTTAGGCTTTACCTATACTACTTCATGCCTACTACTATTGCAATGATTTATGATTGCAATCAAAAATACAACTTTGGAATAATAATAATTAATTTCTTGACGTGTCTAAAATTTGAAATTAAAAAACTTAGTTATTGGATGGAATAAAATGCATGTTGTGTGAGAAACAGTTCGCTCACAATATATTTGTTTTTGAAAAAGATATATACTGATAACCTTCACGATTGCTGATAGTTCACCATCTGTTTGTTGCCAATTTTCATAAAAGTATAGCTATTTTGGGATCAAATAGTACTTTAAAAACCATCACAAGACAGAATATATTTGGCATCCTTGAAGAATATTTAACGACAGTAAGTTTACATTCATTTTTAATAAAATCAAATCATTCAATTACTGTGATATTTCACATTACTTAACATGTTATGCATGTAATAGATTACAGAATGTAGGTAAGAAAGTTTCTTTCATTTCTTTTGTTAATAAGTTCCGTAAACGATGCGATGAGTTCAATTTCGTACCTATTTCTTATGTGCTTTTTTACTAGTGTAGAATTCATTTGAATTTCAATAAATTGTCATAGCCATGTGTAACAAAAATTTAGAAAAGTAAAACGTCAGTCAATGTCATTATTAATAGCTAGAGAAATATTCAGGTTTAGCCTTTTTCGAATACCTACTGGAAAATGTTTCTAAAAATAAATTCTTATTGGAAAATAATAACACAAAATTTCAAGTAAACTGAATTGCAATTTGATAAAGAAATTGAGCCATTATTTTTACTTGCAGATTTGGTTCAACAGGAGTTGTGCACATTTATCAAAACATTTATTTACAAGTCAATTAAATTTATAAGGGATTTTTTAAAGATTTTGAAAAGGATGTATTGAATTTTCAATTACTAACGCTTGTTTATTGTATAATTGAGATTTTTGAAAACTCAACCAGTCGAGAAAATGTCGAAAGGAAACGACAGTTTCGGTAGCAACACTTGTATTGTTTGTTACAAAAATGTTGACATCTTTAGCATTGGAATGTGTGAACATCCCGTTTGTTACGAATGCAGTACACGAATGCGTGTACTTTGTCAACAAAATGAATGCCCCATTTGTCGTCAGGATCTTCCAAAAGTTGTATTTACTCGTGAGCAAAAGCCATTTCGACATCTGAGGAAAGGACCGCTGGTCGACGAGAGATACAACATATTTTTCGAAAATCTCGAAATCCAGGAGAGATTCACTGAATTGCTGGCTCACAGTTGCTCAATATGTCCCGAGAGACAAGTCTTGAGTAGCTTTACCAGTTTAAACGATCACATGAGACGGAGGCACGATCGTTTCTTTTGCGAACTTTGTGTCGACAATTTAAAGGTGAATTCTTCATAATTATTCATGAAATTAATTCATCATTAATTCACAAGAGAGATAAATAAATAAAAAGCGTAATTTATTTGCAGATATTTTCGCACGAAAGGCGCTCCTACTCGAGACACGAATTGAATCAGCATCTTGTAAAGGGAGACTTGGACGACAAGAGTCACAAGGGCCATCCGCAGTGCAAGTTCTGCGTGAAACGCTACATGGACAATGACGAATTATACCGACACTTGAGGAGGGACCATTTATACTGCCATTATTGTGACGCCGATGGTCTTCACCAATATTACAGTTCGTACGACTACCTCAGGGAGCATTTTCGACATGAGCATTATCTCTGTGAGGAAGGATCCTGCGCCGAGGAGAAGTTCACAAGCGTTTTTCGAACAAACATCGACTTGAAGGCTCACAAGGCCACGATTCACGGACGACAAATGGGGAAAGCGGCGGCCAAACAAGCGCGAACCCTCGAATTGGAATTCACTCTGGCGCCGAGGGGCGACAATCGCTACAGGCGGGGCATGGGTCCGCCGACCTCGAGGAACTTGAGGGAACAGGATTGGAACCCTCGCGAGCAGGACGCGGGCGCCGTGGGCGGTGACTTCATTCCGCCGGAAATGTACGTTCAGCAACCACTGGTTGACGTTCAGAGCACTGAACAGTTTCCAAGTCTCGGAAACTCGGCTCCAATTATACCCAAGAACAAGGGCGGCCGTGGTAATGTTACGATTCGCAGTACCCTGCGGCAACCCCTGGAAATAACGGACGAGAATTTCCCCGTCTTGGGCCCCGAACCCGGAAACAGTGGCATTTCGAAAACGGTCAACCTGAGTGTGTCCAGCACGAATAAATACGGCACGAGTGGAACCCAACGCCAACAAAACTCAGCTCCCACGAATGTCTCCATTCACGTGAACCATAAGGCGAACGGCACTAATATCAGAATCAGGCCCTCGAGAGACTCCGAATTCCCGGCGTTAGGTCGAGCCGAACCCTCAACGAGCAATTCGAATACTTCCCAATGGACGAAGATCACTTGCGTGAAACAACCGGCCGTCACCCAGAAATCCAAGAAAGTCGCCCCCGCACCTCTCGCCGCCTCACCGCCAACCATAAACTCTGGTGAGGATTTTCCAACTCTACTCAAGTCCTCCAAATACAATAAACAGTCAACTATTTCCGTCGTGCCCTCCAGTTCCTCGTGGGAGCCGCCGCCGCCGCCGCCACCAACAACGCCACAGGTAAAATTAATGCACAATTTCAAGAAATGACAATTATTAAAAAGAGAAATTCTTTTCAGACGGACACAAACACAGTGAAAAGCACAAGTGACGCGACGAAAGGTAAAGCGAAAAAGAAAAAAGTCAAGCAAAACGGAAATTTAAATATCGATTGGAATACTCCCAATGCCAAGAAAGAAGAATCGAAGAAATCGGAAAAGAAGAAATCACCGAAAAAGGAGTTTTCTCAATCCAATGACTCGCCTAATGATCAAAAACCATTACCGAAGAGGGATACGAGAAACAAGCAGAAGAAAGCAGAAGAAAGCAACTATGAAATTGAAAATGAATCACTGGATAATAACCAAAGAAAACGATCCGAATTAAAGATCGATAGTTTAAATTCAACAAACAACAATAGATTTGACAAATCCAAGGATTTCCCGGCATTATCTAGTGGGGGGAGTAAACCACCAGGGCTTACAAATCCACCGCCTGGTTTCTCCACTTCAGTGCCGCCGCCAGGATTTTTCGTCAAGCTGAATAATGTGAAACGACTGCAAAATGACAATGGTTTGACGTTCACCAACAGTTCCGGTGAAAGTTATTCAATAATTCCCGACAATGATTGTCAAAGTAAAAATTATCCCTATATATCGCCGCCTGATTTTCAAAAGAGGAACCGTCAACTCGTGGAGAAAGTAAATCAAGTGTTGGATCAAGAATTGATTGATGAGTTCCGTTTTGTCAGTGGGTTGTTTCGTCAAGATGTTTGTAATGCCAATGACTATTATGAACGTTGTCGAGCTGTTATGGGCACGTCAACTTTTGAAAGTGTCTTCACCGAACTTCTTGTTCTATTGCCAGATATTAAAAAGCAACAGGAACTCTTTAAAGTCCATAAAAAGGAAGTTAACGGCCAAATAAAAAACTTAGAATTATGCGCGACATGCGGACAAATATTAACAAGTGCCGATCTTCAATCGCATTTGTCCAGTCATACATTTCCGGCCCTCGGTGAAAAAATCGCCATTGAACATTCAAACAAAACATGGGTTCGAAAATAATCGAATTCAAATAAAAAAATTAAAAAACACTCAAATTATTTATTTCCTGGTGAAGTAATCTATTTCTCGGAGCGACTCGGTTTGTGTAATTTATTCAAGTTTCAAAACATTCAAAAAGTAAACTTTCAAGCATTTAAAAGAAATTTTTTCAATATATTTTGACTAATCAACTTTTTGTAAAAACGTGTTCAAAATCCAATTTTTAAGATTTTACACTATTTTGGTTAGAAACATAAAGTTTCTTATTTTAATTTCCTGTCAAGAATCGAATATATGTAACGAAGTTAAGATTCAAAATTTATTGAAGACGATCGACGATCGAGAATTTTTTGTCGGATGTATAGTATATATATATATATTTTATAAGAAAACAAAACAAATGTAGAAATAATGTAATTCTTTGTGTTGAACAGCAACTTTAAATAAACTTTTCTCCTTTTTCTGTTCAAATAAATCCGTGCGTGCCTAGTGTGTTTAAGTGCGTGCATGTACATAAATGGCAAATTATGTTATATAATTTGTTTGTAGTTTCAATAGATATTATTTAGATAACGAGCATACACAAGAGAAAAGCATTCGAAAAATAAAGAGAACAATTTAAAGGCACAGTTTAAAAATGATGGACTGGACAGTAAATAAAAAATAACGGTTGTACTTCCATCATGTTTTGTACAATAATTAAAGTTATTAATAAAGTACAAGATTAATTTGTAAAAAGAGATTTTAACCCTTTTGAATGTCCTAGTTTCCGTCCATTTTTTAAATTAATCTTTTAAAAGGAATTCATTTTTTTATAATCTTTTTATCTTTTTAAAAGTCCTTTATGAGTGTTGTTAGTGAATGTTGGAAATGTGTTTTAAATAGAAAATATGTATTTTCTAACTACAAATTGAATCATCAACCTACTTTCTTTGTTCCCATTTTAGACAGGGCGGAACTTTGTGATCTTTCTTTGTAACATTACTGTAACTGTAACACTACTGCAATATTCCCTTGGGGAAGACATTATTAAAATTAATAATGTTAAAATAAAACGTAACATTCTCCGTGCTACTTGGAAAGGGACATAAAAAATTCTATAAATGTCAAAGACTAGTAACTCGAACTATTTCGTAGTTTATTATTCTCAATAGACTTACAAACTAATATCTTAAAATGCAAAAGACAATTTTCTTTTTCATAAAAATGAAACACCTTATACTACAATATGTTTTTCAAATGTTCACCTCATACAGACATAAGCTTTGTTTTTAAAGAATAATTTTGGTCTTCACAAATATTTTTTAACGATCCCTAAAAAACATTAACAAGGAAAAATATATTCAAATATTACTGAATAAATTCCATTCGATGAAGGAGAAAAATGAATGAAATATATAAATCTCTAGATAATTATAGAAAAAGGTGTTGGTATTAATAAAGGTGTTTTGTAGTACAAATGTATGTACAAAGATTATACAAAACGGATTGCTGCACGAAAGTTTCTTTAAAAAATCGGATCGATACAAATAATGTGCATCTTTGAGATTAAATAAATCTCAATTTATCTCCCCTGTCACTATATTATGATACTAAAAAGAGTCATTAACAAAAGAGTCATTAACAAATTTTGCTCGATTTGCAAAAAATGACGCTTTGTGTCTTGGCATCACCGCTGATGTAGCCAGAGCTTGGAAAGTACTTGCTTGACGATTTTATGGAATTGTATCACTTTTTGGCGAGTTCATTGCAGAGCCAATCGAGTCCTTCGTATAAGCCGTGGCCTTGAGTGGCACACGTACTCTGAATGTACCAGCGTCGTCCACGAACCGAGTTCAAACCGAGCTTATCCGTCAATTCTGTGGCTGACATTGCATTTGGCAAGTCCTGCTTGTTGGCAAACACCAAAAGCACCGCGTCCCGCAACTCATCTTCTTGCAGCATGTTGGCCAGTTCCTTCTCCGCTTCACTAATGCGTTCTCGATCATTACTATCCACTACGTAAATAAGGCCCTGCAAAGATAACTGCAATGTAGTCACACTAATGACTTGAATTAAGCAACACGTCACTTACTTTTTTATTTCACAATTCAGAAGAAAGCATATGTAAAAAATTACTTTGACACTTTATGTAGAACCAACTTGTAAACAATATAATTCTAACCAAAAAATGAAAACACGTATGTTTACCTGGGTATTCTGAAAGTAGTGCCTCCAAAGTGGTCGAATCTTATCTTGGCCACCAACGTCCCACACCGTGAAACAGATGTTCTTGTACTCGACGGTTTCAACATTAAAGCCGATTGTCGGAATGGTTGTAACAATTTCGCCTAATTTTAATTTGTAAAGTATGGTCGTCTTACCAGCGGCATCGAGGCCAACCATAAGAATTCTCATTTGCTTCTTGCCAAAAAGTCGAGTTAACACACTGCTGATAGTCAAACCCATGATTCTAAACTGATTCTAAACCTGATCACCTGATGGACGATGGTGGTGTTTTCAGTTTTTGACAAACACACAAAGTCTCTTTGAAAAAAATTGAAACTTGGATGAGGTGCAACGGGTGCAACAAATTCACCTCGATTTTCAAGGATTTTCTAACCTAAAAAATTATTTCAGGATAAATTACGTTCGATTCGGGGAAAAAGGGGCAATCCGGGCAGTTCGTTAAACTTAATTTTTTATTTCAGTTAATTTTCTAAATGATTTTAATAAACGCTTTTCGAGAACACACCTTAAACTTGTCAAGATTGAAGCAAACGTAGTAAACGAAACGTCACCTCATGACAAAGCAAATAGCGGAAATGGCTGGCAGGTTCGCCACGCGCAATATATTTTTTAAATTTATTTCTGATAAGTAGTCAAATTATTTTTCTAAAAATTAATATTCCTACTTTTTATTGTTTCAATCGAGAGGATATTAAAATTCACAAATGTAAAAGAAAAACATTGAAAAAATGTGATAAATCAAATTCTACGACTTTGAAATTTTCAGGTTGACATGTTGGTTACATTATGGGGCGAGATTTGAACATTTGAAGAAATAATAAATAATTGTTATTCAAACACATTTTGCTTTGTGTACTCGGTAGTAATGTAATTAGATCGAGTTCATCGATTTAAACTCGGTTAATACAGTTGTGGAACCGGCCCTAATATATTTAGACGATTTAAACTCTTTTCTTTCTCTCCAAATATAATTTTCAAATATTTCGCGCGCTTTTTAAACACTGTTTTAAAAGCAGGGCACATGGAGGCAGCACTTTGTTCTTCTTGTTACGCGCGCCGGAATCCTTTGAAAAGTAAACGGGATGATCCTGTTTAAATGTAAACAATGTTAAATTCCGTATAATGGAAGGAAAACCCGTTCGAAGGAAGATTAATTTTTTTGTCTCCTTTCGAAGGTAAAACCCTTAACTTTCTTAAAATACTGCTTAAAAAATAAAATAGCTGCGCACGAGACGAGACAAAACGATATTCTTAAGAGTCTCGTCTCGGTCTCGAGAAAAATTTGTAAAGAAGAAAATAATTCATATTTCAAAGAGAAATTATTCAATTAACATAAAAATTAATAAATTACATAATGTTAGTATTAACAAAGTAAGGATTAAATAATATGCAATTATATTCTACGAATGGAACTGATGAGATCAGCCTTTTTACATGTACTGATGGAGTAACTCAAAAATGCTCATTATTCTTTGAAAATATTCAAACTTGTGTTTAAAAATAATTTATTATTATTAATAAATTGTGATTATTAAATAGAAATTATGTCCATATTTGCCGGAGATGTCAAACTTTTAAAAATCTAAAAATTTTTCAATTTATTAAATTGAATTCGTAGAATATTCTAGAATTACTTTTTTATCATTCATTTTGACTTTCTTCCAATTTATTTATTTATTATTTCAAAACAAAGAAAAGAGGAACGAAAGGGTCACCTAGCTAGAGATTATAAATTTGTTTGAGAATTCTATTAGTGATTCGAGTTTTGAAAATCAAAATTCCACCATTTCTATTTGTAATAGAAATAATAGATAAATAATAGATTTTTAAAGCAAAAAATCAAAATTACAAATGAAAAAGCTTTATGACACAATTGTAAGTCATTATACAATTTACAACATTTTAAACATCACATTAACATTTCGTGGTTAGAACAATGAGTTGTATAATAACATATAATTAAATAAAGAGAAAATACATTAAAAAATAATATTCTACTTCTAAAGAAGAAAAAAAATTTTCACATATTGTAAATAGAAATTAACATATATCTTTGACAAATAATAAATACTTACAAATTCTTAATTTTCAATTTTGTCAATAATATTTTATAAATATTCAATACTATTGAATACTCATATCACTTTAATTTTCACTTTCGATGTCATTCTTCATGGCAAAATTTTTAGAAAAGATAGAATCTTTTTTCAACTTTCTATAATAAAATTATAAATTTTTTAAATTAATACTTTTCTTTTTTTCTTTCCCTTGAAATATAAATTCCCTGAAGTTAACATAGACAAATATGTTTTTCACGAAATCGGAATAAATAGTTCTCGATGCTAAGCGCCGACCCCAACTTCAGCAACCTTTAAATTTAAAGAATTTATCACATACCTGATTTAAAATTTTAATAGACCAGTCTATTTTTATCTCTCATATAAATATTTGTTTAGAATTAATTTTATTTTGAAGATAAATCTCCTGCTGTTTCATCAATTAATTTTGAAATTTCTTGAATATAACTGGGTTTATCCAACACAGGATCCATCAAATGTGATGAATGTCCTTCATGAGGTTTTGTAATGTCTTCAAGTAAAGAAGCATCCTCCAAAGACGATGTTTCTGAAGATCCTAACATGCAAAGAATGCAAAGAAATTAATTAATAATAATATAATTATTTTTTAGTTTTTATAATAGGGGAGAGTGAAGCAAACCGGAGATGTGCTATAATTATAAATTTAAAAAATTAGTGATTCGGACATCTTATTCCCTGATTTTGAAATTTTTTGCTTGCTGTTACGGCCAACTCCGTAACTTTTAACCATCTATATTAATCAAATTTTAGTAACATCTAAATTAAAAATTAAATGAATTGTTCAATTCAAATTATACACAAACACGACTTTCCAGATAACATGTTATAAACAATTATACAGACTATTTTCCATGTAAACTCCTAAAAGACATTCTAATGTTTGGAATTTTGATTCAATATAGTGAAGGTGGATTAATAAGAAAAAAAACCTAAGAAAGGAAACATTTTAAATTAACTTTCAACATTTTTGTGAATTTCACAACTTAAGGGTGAAAGGCCTGAGTTCAAATTACAGGATGTCTTCACGGAAAAAAATTTCTTATAGAAAACACAAACTTTTTCGTAAAATATACAAATAGGTTAAGTTGTGCTTTAAGGCCAACGCAGAATAGATCTGTAGCCGGAACCGCAATCGTAAGCGTAACCGTAAGAATAAGTTAGAGAAGGATAGGTATATTGTTTATCCTTCTCTAACTCATTCTTACGCTTACGGTTACGATTGCGGTTCCGGTTACAGATCTATTCTGCGTTGGCCTTAAGCTGTTGAATCATAAACTGAAGTTTGTGACAAAGACTCATTCTGGTTTGTGTATTTCCCAAACTCAGCCGTTTGTGGATACTACAACCGCCGTTCATGGATGGCACAGGAAATCTTGTAATTTTCACAGGAAATTTTTTTCCTTGTTCACACATTTCTTTCTACTATCGAATTGGCTAAGTAAATTTATCAATATGATTTATTGATTTCCTCACTACATTGTCTTTCAATAAAATTGATTGACACTGGGAAATCTGGGCAGTTATCAAAGTAAAACAAAGCACAAAGTCAGCAAATAAATTATAAAAAGAATAACGGCTCATTCCATACAAACAAGAATAGGGTTCTCTACCTATTGGTTGAAAAATAACCAAGTAGAGAGGGAATCCACTTATAATTATTTGTCCGAAGGACACGTTAGTTAAAGTTCAAAAATTACATCTTTGGAAAATCATTATTAATAACATTTTTTATAAATTATTAAAATCATTTTAGGGGTTCATTCTAAAATTTTTTAACGTGACTAATGTAAAAAATTATAAACCAAGTATTTCCCTTTTCTTGAAATTTGTTAAGGCAGAAAGGGTAATAATAGACTTAGACAACCATTCAAACAATCCAAGACCGAATAAAATTCGTTCGCTTCAACCCAACTCTCCCCTATGTAATAATAATAATAATAATATTAAGAGTATAGTTTGAAATAAAAATATGTAGTTACGATCATTGTTTGATTTTAGATCCCTTTCCTCCTCAAAGTCTCCTTTCTCATATTCAAAATCGTCCTCCGCGGTATCTTCTTCAGCAACAAAGTGTAAATACGACAAGATACAGACGAGAGCTATGAAAAATAAATTGGTGCTAATGCCAACCATGGCCGATAAAATGGGCCAGTGAAACATCAAATATCGTAGCCCAGATAAATGAGCATTTATTGTCAATGTAGCCGAATAAAATTCAATGTGTCGTGATTGAATCTCCACGTACAAACGCGTCACTGGCTGACTCTAATTAACATCAAAATTACTTTTGTTCCATTTCATTAATAAATAAAATGCAAATACAATAGGTATATAATATCAAAACACTCACTTGATCTTCCTCGAAATTGCCGAACAACTCGAGAACAATATTTTGCGTTTCTTCCGTAGTTCCGAAAATCATCATCGGTGAAAATGTGAGGGTTGATATAAAATGTAGCAATGTACTTCTGTAATGAAGCATCGCAGAACGACAAGAATGATCAACTAATCTATTGTATTGACTTTTTAATTCAGCGCACACCATGAACATTCCTAAAATAATAAAATATTATTAAATATTCTTTAAAGTTCCTGTGAGATAGTCGTAAAAAAATAGTTTAAAAACGGAAGATATAATTGAATCGTCAACTTCGAAAAGGACTTAACTAAGATTCTTTGAAAATTTTCTTTCTTTCAATTTTTCACATTATTTCATATTCATTAAAGTTTTTTCAAAAGGAAAAATTTACCCAACATATTTTTGTTTATATTAATTTTTAACCAACGAAAATATTATTTTAAAATTATAAATCTTTAAATAATTTATTGTCACAATTTCAAGCAACTTAGAAAACTGACAACTATAATATCAATTTTCTCCAAGGCTCTTTCATTAAGGACAACTATATTTTAACTATTTTAAATTTTTAACATTCTTTCATGTAACAAGTAACATACCTATAGTAAAGAACCGAGTTGAGCTCTTTTCGAAATTCAATTAATTTCTTACCAAGTTCCTTATTAGCAGGTGATTCTGGCATTTCTAAATGTAAATTAACCTTATATGGTTGCCCAACCATCAGAAATTGTTGCTTTTTCGTTAATTGTATATGAGCGGACGGAAAACTACAAACTCCCTTAGCGTGATCACATGGTCTGCAAATTTTTTCATTGTATGACATTAATTTTATCAACTATTTCTGTATAGTGTGCGTACTACATATTTGCTGTAATGTTTTAAAATATTTAATATACTATGACATAAGTCATGTTAATAAAGAATAATATATTCTAAATTAAATCTTTTTGAGGTTATGTTTCTGTGTTTACGGTGTTTACTTATGATCGTCCCTGGATATAAATAATAAAATTTCGGTAGTACTTACCGAAATTGTAAATGCACCGGTCGAACATACGACATACTTGGCATGTATGCATAATAAAAAGCAGTGTATAGAAAAATTGATATCCATACAATTAGTACAGCACTGATAATGATAAGGCCACCACGAACTGCTGCATCTCTTGCCGTTTGTACACTTTGCGTTGTTTTTTTATGCACATTTAATAATTTGTTAATAATATTTTTTATTATTCTTGTAGGAATCATAATTGTTTTATTTATCTTCATTATTATATTGTTCGTAAAATATAGAGAAAAATTTTATCTTTGACGATCAACTTTTCACACACTACAATCTTGACACGAATTAATAATGAATCCTGATATAATTAGTATAACATTTCTAACATTTTGATAATTGATAAACTCAGTGCTAAAGTACAAGAATTCAGCAAATTTCAGGTGATGAAATATTTACTTTCCTCTTAACCGGCAAAATTTTTATTTTTTGCAAATTTCTTGATTATCGAGTGACAACAAAAATGAAAATAAATGAAAATCAGGGTTGGATACGTAATGATGTATACCTTTTCAAAAAAGACTATATACAGGAGAAACAACTCGAGTATTTCCGATGGTCCGATTTTAACGTACACTCGTGCTCATTAATGCCTTCTCTCAGGGAAGGCACTAATTTGACGCGTTTTGCCCACTTTCTATATTTTTTATAGTTTGTGCCAATAATTCCATAGGAATTTTACTTTTCCATTGGTTGATTTTTTATACAATATAGATGGTAGGCAAAGTTCGTGAAATTAGTGCCTTCCCTGAGGGAAGGCATTAATGAGCACGAGTGTACAGTAGTTTGTAGTTTTCAATTATGCCTTCCAAGTTTGAACGTGTCGCACTCATATGTTTCCATGGAAACATATGAGTGCGACACGTTCAAACTAAGAAGGCATAATTGAAATGTACTGTACGACTGGGCGTACTACCCCGAGGTGCACTAGTGTTCTGCACATCCCAACACATGCATAACTGTGTATATTTTATATATATTCCATCTGACAGCTGTAACAGCTGCAAGTTTTTATTATCTCCTCCATATTGAATAATAAGTGTAAATATTAAGTGAACTTAATATTTTTAATACAAAAATTTCTAAAAAAAAGTGAGAAGTGTATTTAACACTAGTGTTTTTAATTATGCTTCGTTTTGATGAAGAGTGTTAATTTAAATAATAAAAGTTGTAATGGGATTTTCATAACCATTTTTTATCTTACAATAAAAAAAAGGGCATGTTATATTATAAATTATTATCGCTCCTATTATAATATGTGACGCGATATGAAGAAAGGGACCTAAGAAGCTGAGCAATACCAACTGGCTGGTGAGAGTCATCCCCACCATATCGAAGTCTCTCTCCTTCCAAGCGTCACACACATTAGACCAAGAAAATTGTAAACAAAACAAACACACATTATCTAAAGATACACAGATAGAGTTTATACAGTTATGCATGTGTTGAGATGTGCAGAAGACTAGTGCGCCTCGGGGTAGTACACCCAGTCGTACGTTAAAATCGGGACCACTGCTCTCTATGAACAAGCAGGCGAGTTAGTTCTCCTGTATATAGTCTTCTTGCAACCCCTTCAAAAACGGGGTGCGACCGTCTGTACCAAAAACATAAAGGCGCTTGTACACCTCCTCCGTTCTAAGTATATCAGAAACGTCCAGCGTTTTGATTAGCTATGCTCTTAGAGAATTTCCAAAAATTTTAATGTTTTGGAAATTCTCTATGAGCATAGCCAATCAAAACGCTGGACGTTTCTGAATATACTCAGAACGGAGGAGGTGTACAAGCGCCTTAAGGCTGAAGTCCCATGGCAGCGTTTTGCGTTGCGTTTTGTAACTAGGCAATGAGTGTGAGAGAGATACAGATATATGTTTACTCTATTTGCACTCATGGCCTAGTTACAAAACGCAACGCAAAACGCTACCATGGGACTCCAGCCTAAAGGCGCTTGCACACTTCCAAATTTTTAGGCGAGCAGCGAATTTTCACGGCCTTGAAATGCACATTACTAAATATGATTGGCTCTGACAAAGTACATTTTCACGCAGCTTTTTGTAGAGCCAATCATATTTAGTAATATGAGTTTCAAGGCCATGAAAATTCGCTGCTCGCCCAAAATTTTGGAAGTGTGCAAGCGCCTTTAGGGTGGAGTCCCATGGCAGCGTTTTGCGTTGCGTTTTGTAACTAGGCCACGAGTGTGAGAGAGATGGAGATATATGTTTACAATAGGTTTGTTCTCGCTAGCTACACCGCTACACTCGAGTGTAACAAGAGTGTAAAACGGAGCATGCGCACTTAAACAAAGTACAAAATCTAGCGAGAACGCAAAAGTGTAGAGAAAGTGCACGAAAAAATGAAAAAAAAATTAACGCTATCTTAATTATTGTAAACTGCATACAATCTGTAATATAGTTAGGTTTTATAAATAAATATATGGGTCATTTTATTTAAAACAAACCACCTTATAAACAATTGCCATTGTGAAGCAATTTTTTAAATAATTATTTCTCACATTTATTAAAGCCAAAATTTATTTACTATTATGATTTTAAGAGAAAAATTTATCAGTTTTATGATGTTAATATTTTTTTTTTAAATAATAGGATTTATTTCTATTATTCCCTGTAAACTTTATAATGGGCAATATTCATGGAAATTTAAGATATTAATTAAATTTTACAAGAATTTCGAAGGTTAAATGTATGTACCGAGCAGAATTTAATTTTTTCAAATTTTTACACAGTTTAAACTCTGACATCTTTGTAAAATTTAATTAATTTCTTAATTTCAACCGATTTGCTCATTATAAGGGTCAAGTCCCATGGCACCGTTTTGCGTTGCGTTTTGTAACTAGGCCATGAGTGCAAATAGAGCAAACATATATCTGTATCTCTCTCACACTTATGGCTTAGTTACAAAACGCAACGCAAAACGCTATCATGGGACTCCAGCCTAATGTTTACAGAGAATAAAACTAGAATTTTTAAGCTTCATTTTCACATAAGTTTCAAGAAAAACGGAAGCGACATGTTTTGAAATATTCTAAAGGTGCCGTCCCATGTCGGCGTAAAAACGTCAAAGCGTCGAAGCGTCGGCGTTAAAGTATGAGAGTGAACGAGATAGTGATATAAGGTTGTTTCTTTCACTCTCATGCATTTACGTTTTGACGCCGACGCTTTGACGTTTTTACGCCGACATGGGACGGCACCTTAAAGGTTATCTTTCAAACTTAATTTTTTTCATAAATTCTATTATTTTTTAAGAAATATGTTTACCATTATAAAATTAAGAATTTTTTTTTTAAATTCTATGTAAATAAAGTTTGGTTTTAATAAATGGGAAAATAATTATTTAAAAATTGCTTTACAATGTTAATTGTTTATAATGTGGTACTTTATATGAATATTAACAAAATAAGAATTGCTTACTAATAATTTTACAAATTAAAAGTCACTAAGAAACATATTATAATTTTATGTTCATAAAATAATTAATGCATTTTAAATAAAATGTCCATTTACCGCCATTTTAATCAGAACACTCAATTACACTCGCTCGCAATCGGGTGTAATAAAATAGGGAAAAGTGCACCGGCTTCTAGGGAGTTAGGTGTACACTATTGCGTCACTTCTGGTAACGAGAACGCCGTAGTGTACACTTTTGTAGAAAGTGTAGCTATAGCGAGAACAAACCTTATATTTGCACTCATGGCCTAGTTACAAAACGCAACGCAAAACGCTGCTGCCATGGGACTTCACCCTAAGGCCGCAGTCCCATGGCAGCGTTTTGCGTACACATTGTTCGAGCTATAAGCGTCGAGTGCCAGGGGCACGCCCTACTAAAAATAAAATCAGGAATGGTCAGACAAATGGTCAGGCCGCCTGACCAATTTAATCCAGTTTTCTTACGATTCTGGATGGATCTCGTCAGAAATCTATCAAAACTGATCAGGAGGAAGTTTAAAGTGGTCACAAGTTTGCTACTATCCCCTCCTCTTTGTTGACCCCGCCCATAATTGGTGACTATTTGAGACCATTTGTATCTCATTTTTGACCATATTTTTAAGCCACTTCTGTTTTATTTATTTAAACAATATGCAAAAAGTTGCAACAAATTAATTTTAAAAAATATATTTTATTAATTAATATCAGTTTGTTTACATACGGAACAACTTGAAACTAATTCCCGGAATTAAATTAAAATTTGGAACCTACGGGGATCGAATACAGATTAATAATAATTATTATTATATCTGCATTTAAAATGAATTTAGTATTTAATATTAATTTAATTTAACATTATAATTTATAATAATAATGAATTATTAATGCAATATTGAAATTTTTATAAATTTAAAATTTAAATTATTAATAATCATTATAGTAAGAAATTATTCTATTAATGATTAATAATATATAATTTAAATATAACTGTATTTCAATTATAATGCAAATACTTCTCATAATAAGTACTGACTGGTATAGTAAATTACTAATATTATGAAACAAAATTTATTATTAATTAACTATATTAAATAATTACAAGTAAATATACATATATTAAATTAATATATTATAAATATACATTACATAAATATATTAAATAATTTTAAAAGAATAGTCCGAATGTTTTGATTTATTTACCTACTTTTGCTGTATAATTAATTCAATAATTATACCAATTCGAAAAATGAGAACTTCCCTATATTAAAGAACCAGTTGAGACCAGTAGAAATTGAACATGGATCTACTGGTGTCAACTTGCTTTCCAAATTGAAAAACTTTTCCGTGTAGCAATTCTACTGGTTTTAACTTGGAAATCCTATTCATGTAACTGAAACGGATATCCAAGATAAAATTGAAATGGTTCTATCTTGGATTGTCCTCTTCAATTTTTGTTTCGACTTGTTTTAACATGGATTTCCAATGTTATCATTTCTACTTGTATTTCCAAGTTCGCACGTACTACAAGTATCAGCTTGCATTTCCAAATATAAAAATTAAGTTCAAGTATCTACTTGGTTCAATTTGGATTCTCGAATACTACATTTCACTTGTCCTGTCAAATTAAAAATCAACAAGCTTGAGTTTGGAATTTTCAACTCCAAATTTATGTAGCACAGTGAAGGATTAATGTCATCTTGGTTTAATTTGAATCGGGGATGCATTCTATTTGGAATTTCAAGTTCAAATTTAAAGAGTTTGATTAATCGCGAATTGGAATTCATTAAATTGTCATTTACGCCAATTGTTATTTTTGCAAAGAATTATTATTGCAAATTTACATTTTTACAAATATTTATTTTAGTTTACTGTTATTTTGCAAATTTGTTATTTTTGCAAACTTGCATTCTTCGCAATTGAAAGTTTTACAAATTGTTAGATATACTTTTGCTAATTGTTATTTTTTGCGAAACTGCTTTGTTGTGTATCATTATTTTTGCTAATTTTATTTTTGCGAATTTGCATTTCTCGAATTGATATT